ATTAGTTTCTAATTCGAATGCACAATTGGTGTCATCCAGTAGTTCTAGTATGACGAACGAGTCGAGTGGATTTGAGGTTTCTGTCGCTTCAATAAAGCTTCCGGGGCTTTGGACAAATTGTCCAGAGACATACATGGTTTATTCATGCTGAGATGCAATTCGCAACTAAAGGAATCACTTTGGATAAAACTAAAAATGAATATGTTGTTACAGCTTTACCTCAGGAGATGATAATGTCTGTTTTAGATGTTATTCGCAACCCGAGAAATAACAACACTATATTTTTCCTTAAATTGAATTTGTAGTCGGCCAGGACTTTCAACCAGGCTTCACTTGTACGAACCAGCATCTAAAACTCTATTTTACTTCACTGCTAATTTATATTTATTTTTGAAGTCAATGCTGTAACCCCTGGTTAAAGATAGATTCGTCTGTAAAATCTGGGTCATTGCGTCAAATTGCTTTGCCGTTGTGATTTTAACTCTAAATATGTGAAATTTTATCCTATTTACATATATAAAAATAAATATTTGTATGTATATATGTAGATTATTCTACTTCAAATTCATGTTATTTTAAAATTTGATTACTTTTTAATGTTCAATTCTGAATTTGGAGAAAATTTTTACGTGGTCGACAACAAAATCTTTACACATTTTACATCATTTGACTTATTAGAATGCCACTCGTGGTATGAAAAGTGTACCAGAATTTCATACAAAGCTGTAATTTATTGTATATGACACACAAATGTTGTTTTTATCCCAATATATTACAGTAGAAGATAAAAACATAATCTCCAATTATTTTTCTTACCCTCCTTTCTACTTTAACGCCCAGGTTTTCTTCGATCAAATCGTAATCGTCGTCTTCTAAGCGATCATCTAAGTCGTCATCGTCGTGTTTTTTACGTTTTTTTGAGGCATTCGAAGTGTCGGAATCTTCTCCCTCGGTTCCATCCTCCTCGATCGGATTATCGTCTATTAAATCCTTCAGTTCCTCACGAAGACGTTCTTCATCATCTATAACAAAAATTAAGACTTTTGAATTCAATAGTAACAAGTTTAAAGAAGACGATAATAATAGAATAAGCATAAACTAAAACTCATGTAAATACATACAGTAAAACGTTCTGCCCGCCCATCCATTATTGTAATATAGGTTGTATTCATTGTCACCGTTACTCTGGCTTTTGTTATTAACAATATACTTATAGATCTAGAGGTAACAGGGACAAAAGTAGTCGCATAGGCTGATGATGTCGTCCTATTAATTGCCGGGAAATTCCTGCAAACAATATCGGACCTAATGTAAGGAGCTCTAGTCACCCTATCACGGTGGGCGCGTCGCAATGGACTAGGCGTCAACCCATCAAAGACAGAGCTCGTCCTTTTCACCAAAAAACGGAAACAGCCCTGCTGGTCACGAGGAGCACTGAGGTCAACGGTCCGATGACTATATATGTCGATAGTCAAGCAGTACTAAAGGCCTTAAATTCTCTTACTATCAAGTCTAGGGTTGTTTTGAACTGCAGGGAAGCCTTGGAAAACACTGTGTTGTCCATCAAGCTTTGTTGGGTTCCTGGCCATTATAACATCACAGGTAACGAGACTGCAGACGAATTGGCCAGGCTAGGATCTGAATCAGTACAATTGAAGTAGACAACTCGGTTAAACCACCACTGTGCAATTTCCTACAGGTCATTCACAGACATTACTCTGAGAGAATCCAACAAAAATGGCTGGACGAAATGGGATGCAACATCTCCAAAAGAATCTGGCCGACCCTTTCAGAGAAGAGAACAAGATCGCTGATGTCATTGTCAAAACCTGACTTAAAACTTGTGGTGGGTATCATCACAGGTCATTGTAAGGTGAGGGCTATGACCTCGAAATGGGACAGTGACGACATTGACTATTGTAGGATCTGTCAAGATGAAGAAATCGAGACAGTCGAACACTTGCTCTGCCACTGCCCAGCACTCATTAATGTGAGACACAGACTAGTGGAAGAACTAGTGACACATGATCTGTCCTCTTTTTCTAACACTCACCCTATAGTAATCCTTCAATTAGCCAGAAGATTCAAGTGGCTAAAGGCGACACGGCAAACTCCTCAGCCGTAGATCACACTCTATAACTCTATCTCTTATCTTCACCTCTTCTTCCTAACCTAACCTTCATTGTCAAATCAAAATGGCGTTTGGTATATCAGTTAAGCGATATTCTTAAAATTGGTAAATATTTATTTAAGTTCATAAAGGTTGTCAAGTTCGGTGTCATGTGCATCTTCTCGGCATCGTTCGACTACATATAAGTATTAACCCCGAATATATTAACTTAAATAATTTATTTAGTTTGTGTACCCTGCACAACAAGACAAAGTCTTGTAAATTTCAGTAAATGCGTTGCTGATACCCTGTGAGAGATGTGGAAGAGAATTCCAAAGATGTAAGGCACCGATATAAAACTGCTACTCTGAAACCAGACTATGTCACCCCAGTGGTATAATAGTCCTTCCTCTGTTGGATCAAGTAAATTTTAATCTTTGAAAGAGGCATTTAGGTTTATTCTTAATGATCATTTAGTGTAGACATTGTAAAGATTTCATGTTAAGAAAGGCTTTGAAACTTAAACCATTTATGGAAATTGTGTATAGTGTATTGCGCTGTTATGAGCTACTTTTAATTTTCGGAAACTTATTGCATCACAATGGGCAATGAGTTCACAACCATAAAGCAATCTAGGAGCCAGATTGGTTTTTAGCAAGAAGGGAACGTATATTAAGTGGCGTATAAGAGCGTGTCAACCACAATACTGATTGTGAACGATTAGTGAGATAAGAAAAAATAGTTTTGTCGATAAGGCAGAAAAGCCAAAATATATCCGGAGTTTAAAACAAAGAATTTGGCTATCTAGTATATCGAAAGCTTTTGAGTGTCCAAGAACAAAAAAAATTGAGCCCAAACAATAGGGTCTCGTCATTAGTGACATATAATGAATTGTCAACTTGAATGGTTGGAATACTAACGACTGTTTAAATAACAAATCGTGCTTAGAAAAACATGAGGCAGAAACCTTATCATATAGGAGAATATTGTTGCGATTATTAACAAAGAACAAATCGGTGAGAGTGCTGACAGTGGAAGAAAAATGAGTAGGTTGTGGTGGTGTGTGAGACCATACAGTCTGTTAAAACATCATTATACAAACATTTTTGTCAATGGTTTCGACTTGAGGCGAAATTTAGCGATAAGGGATGTTTTTACTTCTCCCGCAGTTTTGTAAATAATTTTGCGCGTTTAGTTTTGTGACGCATATTGAGAAATATCAATCATATTCCGAAATTTGTCAATATTTTTTTGTTGTAGATACAGATTGGATCATTACTCTTATGATGCTTGATGTATACAATACTACGAAAGTTGTACACCGCATATGAGAATTAATAAATTAATGGCATCTTGACGGTGCTGGTAGTTGGCGTTTGAAAGGTTCTCACTCACATAATATTGGGAATTTGAGTTGAAACCGATTGAGTTTAACATGAGCTTATTGTTGTTCAACTTTTTGTATCTTGATAAAGACTTCATGAAAGAATTTCATTTCATTTATTTACATTCAATACAAATATAAAGCTTTAGTCTTTGAAGGGTTAATTTCCAACTTGTTAGATAACAATAGATTTGAATAGAATTGAAGAATACGATTGGAACACCAAAAAAATGTCATCTGCAAAAACGTAAGGATTACAGCTGCGAATAAAATAAGCAGTCGCGGACAGCTCAGCGTTTTCTAGGGGGAGAGTCTCGGACTAAATACCCGAGTGCCTGTGATCCCTGGACTCGACGAGGCGACACTGGTGCCCCTAAACTATCCAGTCGGCGGCCTGGTCCACCGCAACGGACTCCCTATTGCTGGGGTGTTACGTAAATCGTGCCCATCAGTATTCCAAGGTGTGCAGTCAGGGTACCGACTGTATTAGAACGGTTGCCTCGTCGATACCTGGGCACCTCGACGAGTAACAGGCTTAGTTGGTCATGGCGGACCTCGTCACCTCCACTGTCCAGATATCTTATGGAGAATCTTATTAACAACAAAACAACAAAAACCGACAAAAATTCAACCACCTCTTCGGAGGTGTCGACCCAGGACATGGCCACGGACAAGATGTTAACTTCGGGCGTGGACGTGACTCTGCAAACTTACCGAGACGTGGTATGCGAGAGCATACAGCGACAGAGCGAACAGCTGTCCTCCCTTCTAGAGAAGACCACTCTGAAGCTCAGCCAGGAGAGTGTGGTTTTGGGAATGACTCACCCCTCTCTGATGAGGAGCTCGACGTCACCGTCATACCCTCATCTTTGAGGGGTGAGTCAGTCCAAAATACTGAAAGGGACACTCAATCTAGTGCCAAGGCTAGGTCAACTCCTGTGAAAGGGGTTCCATCGGTACCTACCGGTGCGGCCAACCTCCGGGTCGAGGAAGGCGTCGTGGAAGGGGGCACTGATATTCCTATTAACCACGATGACTCCGGATCGAAGGAGGGAAAAAATAAGGTGAGGTATTGTAGAAGCTTCGTCGGTCGCGATCCCCTACAGATTACGGAGAGGGAAAAGGCCCTGATTAGGAGGAACCTAAAGGCAGTGCGGAAGTTCGAAAAGAACCACCCGGAACTGCCAAAATGTTCACTCGAAAAGGACCTTGCCTCTCTATTTACAGACCTCGCCAAGACGGTAAGTCCATCTGAGGACAAGCCAACTAACGATGCTGGGGTGGAGGGCAACACCACTCCCGACGATGGTAAGACAGCTTCGGCTGTTGCACCATCAACGAAATCAAATGTAGCCCCCCTTATCTAACGCAGGGAAAAGGAGGAACAAAAGGACGCCCCTAACGGAAATGCTGCCCCGGTGGATCCAAAGGAGGCCAAACCCTCTTCTCGTGTAACGATGAAGAGAGGACGGTCAACGGAGGAACCACACCCCGAGGCGAAGAAACCGTTAACGGGCAAACTTCCCCCTCCGCAAACTGCGTCTTCTACGCCAGTAGCTGGCAAGAAGACAGTGGCAAGACCGGTACAAACAGCCTCTGTGGACCCTAAGTCTGCTAAGGCTATGTCTGCTACCACAAACCCACAACCTTCGAGCCAGAATTCAAGGAAGAGGAAATATTCCCAAAAATTATACCCGGACAATCTCCGTGTAGCGGTCATCGACCGAGCTGAGCCGGAAGGCAAAATCAGTGAAAGTTGGTGGCTTCTCATTGAGGACCGTCTGAGGGGGCAGGTTTTCCTAGGGGATGATCCTTCTAGGCTACAGTTTGGCAGTGCTACCGTTTACAAGGGAGTGAAGGTCATCTGCTGCGAAAATGAGGAGTCGAAGGACTTTCTTGTGACCGCAGTAGCTGGCCTTCAGGGACTTGGGGATGGAAGTGCCTTTGCTGCTGTATCCCTGAAGGAAATCCCCTGCAGGAAGATATGACAGCATGGGTGCCGCCGCCCTCTGTGGACCCGTCACGCGTGCTGACAATATTGGGGA